GGGGGAGTGTAGGGGGCAGGTTTATAGGGTATACCCTTTGGTCGGTTGATGATGAATGGAAGTGATTGGAACCATGGCAATGAAACGATGTACGGTGGAATGAATGTAAAACTAAAGTTCTCCCATGTAAAATATCATATAATTCATAATAAAACATGAAAAAAAGAAAATCTGTCCCATAGAGAGTACAGCCTAGGAAACCCTTTGGGGTAGTTCTACTCTGTCATATAAACTCACTGTAATTGACTTAATGGCACACAACAGTCCCTGGGTTGTAAAAATGATTAACATGCTCAGCTACTAACCAGAAGGTTGGAAGTTCAAGTCTACCCACAGGCCCCTTGGAAGAAAAGCCTGTTGATCTACTTTGGGAAAACCATGCTATGGAGCCCAACTCTACTCTGACACACATGAGCTAGAATCAGCATGATGGCAATTGTTTTTTTGTTTGTTTTTTAAAAACATTATATCTGTCTTATAGGATTGCTGTGTGAAATAGATAAGATGCTGGGTGTTCCAGAGGCTTAGTATTGTAGTTGGCTACAGAATGAATGTCCACTGCTAGTTGACCAATCGCCACAGAGTTGGCTCTGACTCTTGGTGACCTCATGTGTGTTAGAGAGAAACTGTTTGTCCTCCATAGGATTTTCAATGACTGATTTTCCAGAAGTAGACTGTGAAATCTTTCTTCCAAAATGCCTCTGGATGGTCTTGAACCTTCAACCTACCAGTTTAGCAGCCCACCATATTAAGCCTTTTCATTGCCCAAGAAGTTCTAGTGCTGTTAGGTATTATTATTACTATTATTGTCATTTTGCAAATTCAAAACCTGAAATCTGGGGAGAGGAAAGCAAATGGTCCCCACACAGGTGAGTTTGCCCAGGAGCATTTAAGCGTAAGGTCCAGGAGTCCTGACCAGCTGCCTTGCCTCCTATAGGTCTTCTGGAGGATCCTGTCGGATACCAGGCTCCAGGGTGGTTCCTTTTAGGTCTCTTCCTGATGTCTGCCTTACAGGACCAGAGTTCATCCAGAGAGATCAATATACTAACACAGTGAGTGAGCCCAGGGAAAGGTAGACCCAGGCGGGGACCACAATTCCAACCTCGGTTCCAATCAGGGCTAATAGGGATAGCCAGCTTCCAATCGTATACCACACTCCCTGATTCCCCCAACATTACTTCTGGAGCCTACCGTGATGAGACACAGTGAGGCAAATGTCTGCCTCTGGCTGGGTGCAGGGATGGCCTTGCAGCTGTATTAACCCATTGCTGTTGAGTTGTTTCTGACAGACCTTGATGCTCTGCTTTCTCAACAGGAACATGCAGGTCTGGCATGGCTTAGTGATTGCAACCGTGTCCCTCTTGCTACAGACCTGTCTCTTTGCAGTTATCAGTTACCTGTTCAGCAGGCACAGAGGTAAGTGACTCAGGACCACCTCTCCCCCAGGCACCTCAGATGCCATTCCTGAGTCTGCAGGAGAACCCTTTGGAGCCCCCAAATATCACTTGAAAACCTACCTGAGAACCCACTGGCCAGATCCCCTTTCCTAAAGCCTCCAATAGGGCAAGCCCACCTCTGTGCTCTTACCTCACTTTTACCCAACCTCTGTCTGGTTGGGAATGACTGCTTCCGGCTATTATTAAAGCCTCTTGCCTACAGACAGGCCTCTATAATTCGTAAGAGGAAAGGCCTCATTAACCTGCTCCAAAGGACCAAGCATAATGACCTTGAGTTGCAAAAGAAGGAAGTATAGTTAGACTAAAGATGACCTTAAATCTTAAACTGATTTACAATTAAGATAGAGAATCTCTGTCCTGGGAAGTCACTGCAATCAGGAGAAATCAAAGTTGTTTTGGTGGATTGCCTTGTTCTAAGGCAGAGGGTGGGCAGGCTGGGGTTTTGAGGCTCTTTCTGGTAAAGAAGTCTCTATGAGTTGGAACTGACTCTAAACTTCTGTACAAGGAACCCTGTAGCATAATAGGCATTGGGCTGCTAACCACAGGGTCAGCAGTTAAAACCCACCAGCTGCTCCATGAGAGAAACATGAGGCTTTCTGCTCCCGTAAAGATCTATAGCCTCGGAACTGACTCAACAGCACCACCAAACAGACTTCTCTAGGCATTCATCCATTAGTTCATTAGATATTTGCTTAGCACCTAAAGCACTGTCTAGGCCCTGGGGATACAGTAGGAAACAAAATTAAATCTCCTGCCCACATGGGACTCACAGTTCATGTGAGAAATGGGCAGTAAACAAGCAAAACATCTAGTGTGTATATAGTAGGTAAGTACTCAGGGTGGGGGTGGGGTGGGGGAATGAAACAAGGAAGAGAGAGATGAATTGAGGGCTGGCCAGCATCCCTGCAATACTGTAAAGCTGCAGGAAGTAAGGAGGCCAGGAGGCACCTGAGAGGGCCCTAATGGAAAGAGTCTTTGGCACATACTGGGAAGAAACTGGAGTTGAGGGGCAGATGAGAGAGGAGAAACCACACCAGAGAGGGGTGAGAGCTGAGATCACAGAGGGTTCGGTAGTCTGGGGCCAAGTGACGGGAGGAGTTGAACTGAGCAAAAGAACAACAGGATTTGAAGGGTGTTTCTCACAAAGTCGCATTAGAGAGGACCTGCCTACCCCCAGGAGCTCCTACTTTTGGTCTCTGCCCTCTCACCTCCAGCCAATGAGTGTGAGCGAATACTGAAAGCAGCCAAGCCCCCAGCTCCTGAGCCCAGTCCTGCCGACCATCATTCACCTGTTGCCAAGGAGACGAAGGGACCTCTGTGGGAGAGCAGCGCCCCAGCGTCTAAGCCCTGTTACAGGCGTGAGTAATTCCGGGTCTGGTCGGGTCATGAAGCTCTGGAGCCTCCACTAGCACCCAGAGTTCTCCCTGTATTCCCCCCCATCCCCGACCTCTACCTTGAAGGCCCCTCACACAGGTAAGGCCTTACCAGTCACCCTTTTCAGAATGTTTGTCCTGTCTTGTCGGTCAGATCTCACTGAGTTTGTTGAGTCAGAACAGACTTAACGGCACTTAACAACAACAAAAATAGGTGTGGCACTGTGGGATAAAGCACTAAACTGCAAGGTCAGTTTGAACCACAAGGCCGGAACTTCAAACTCACCAGCCACTTCTTGGAAGCCCCATACAGAGTCCCTATGAGTTGGAACTAACTCTATGGTACTTAATAACAACAACAAATGACTAGGTGGAGTCCAGGTGTGGCACTGAAGAATCAGCACTGGATTGCACACCATAAGGTCAGCAGTTCAAACCCACCTTGGAAACCCTATACAGGGTTGCTATAATTTGGAACCGACTCAATGGCACTTAACAACAATGACAACGAATAGATAGATGGTACAAATGGTTAAGTGCTTGGATTTTAACCGAGAGGTTGGTGATTCAAATCCACCCAGACATACCTAGGAAAAAATCTTGGCTATCTATTTCTGAAGACTCAAAGTCATTGGAAACCCTCTGAAGCACATCCTACTCTGACACACATGAGGTCAAGTGGGAATGGCTATGAGTTGGTTGTGGGTTGTGGAGGGAGAGGGAGGTTGGGAGACTGTCTCTGCTCCTTTCTCTGCAACACTATGACATCTTTCCTTTTACTCTGCTAATGAACTGTGGAACTAAGATGGCAACTGTCTCTGTCCGAGTCCAACTTGTCCACTGGGCCTTACTGTCTGGCCAATGTCAGCTGCATGCACCTAAAGAACCCTTCTCCACGGATTTAGATCTGCATGGTACCTGGGCATTTTCATAAACAACGAGTTGTACTGATACACCAAATCCATCTGCCCCTCCTACACTTGATCCAATTCCTATTTTCTACCTGAGGTCTGGAAGAGAAGGCCAGATCACCCTTTGTTAATAAGGTGCAGTGAGAAGAAGCAAAGTCACCCTCCATGAATGCTCTGTCCCCAGTGCCAGCTCGTTTTCTATAGATTTATCTCCTAATTGATTTGAGTTTGTTCTGTCCTTCTAATTTTATGTTTTCAGTTGAAGGAATCTGATTGACAGGCTTCCTTGACCCTGAGATAATGCTCCAGTGTATGTGGGAACCCAGAGACAACAGCTCACATGAATTCAGTGATTCAGCAGAGTGGAAGAGATGCTAACCTGACCCCAAAACTTCACCAGAGCCTGGTCAAATGAGATACTGGCTGGCTATCAGGGATCTCAGAGATAATCATTCAACTCATTTGTTTTACAAAAGTCAATGTGATAAAAATGTGGTCCCAAAAGGACTGTGACCTGCTTAGGGGTCCCACAGAATTAGTACAGGCTTGGACTAGAAGCTATGTCTGTCATCTCCAGGCTAAAGCTACTTGCACTGGGCTACGGTGTCTCAGGAATCCTGGTATGGTGCTGTAAGATAAGCACTGGACCACAAGGTCTGTTTGAAAGGCAAGGTTGTTAGTTCAAATCCACCAGCCACTCCTCAGAAACCCTGTACAGGGTTGCTGTGAGTTGAAACTGACTCGTGGGCATTTAATGACACCACACTGCCTCAGATTATCATTGTTGACTCTTTCTGGAAGGCTGGGCTTCCCAAGCACTCTCAAGTCTAGTTTTGTTGTTTGGTTTATTTTTTGGTTTTAGAAGATGAAAGGAGCAGCAGTGCCGGGGTTTCTGAGCATTTTTCTGGCCTTTTGAAGGCTCTCTTTCCTACCACCATTTCTTTATTCTGTTTCCCTATCTTTCTCTTTTGGGGGCTCTGTGTCTTTCTTCACCAGTCTCTTTGCATTGTTAGTTCTGCCTCTATCTTCATCTCAGTCTCCTTCCCATTGTCTATCTTCTTTTAAAACCTTCTGACTTTCTCCAGAAGTGGAACTGTTTTCATTTCTCCCTAGATTATAGCGATACCTCCTCAGACAGCTCGGACAGCTCGGACAGTGCACCTTCCACCTGCCAGGTAACAGGCCCTCCATATGGCATCTGGGGAAAGAATTCTGTGGGATCCTGAGAACTCATACCACCCAGCTAAGGAAGGAGATTGGACAAGGAAGGAGGGGATTCCTGAGTCATTACAGCTTCCTTAGGTGCAGGTGGTCAGACCTACAGTCCAGGTCAGCATGGACCATCCAAACAGAATGAGTCTGAGTGGTTGTAAAAATGAAATGAAAAACTAATGGTGCTTATGTAAAAACACCTCTTGGGGTTTGGTTCTTTGGTTCTTTGGTTTGGGGTTGTGTTTCATGGGACTTCTCGTTTCATGGGCCTGATAATGTATTTAGTGCTTCTATTCTACCTCCTAGTTCATAGCCTGGGGTCTTAAAAGCATGCAAGTGGCCATCCAAGTTACAGTTGGTCTCTGTTTGAACCAATAGAACAAGGAGAAGAGTTAGGTATAGGAGGAGGCAATGGAATGTGTGACTAATTGTCTGCATGAGCAACTGCCATGGAGTTTGCCATGAGAGCGAGCAGAAGAACTAGGTGGTACCCAGCTACTATTACTGAACAGATGGCTTAAAGTTCTTTAGAAGAATGCTGATCAAAAGGGAGAAAATGTAGGACAGACTTTCAAAGTTTCCTGGACTTTCTGGAGCCATGGATACTTGATGAACACCAAAACTGTTGCCATGAGATCATCTTTAAACTTTAAACCAAAAACAATCTCCTGAAGTCTTTTTAAAACCAAACAGTAGTTTAATTTAATTAGTAAAAAAAAAAAAAAAAAAAAAAGTCATCTTTGAGCATTACGTCCAACAACTCAAAAAATTGAGCAGGAACCTTAGGGGACCATGAGCTTTTGTTAATGGGAGAAGAACAACACAGAAAAAGAGGACAAAGATGATTGCACATCATGAAGAATGCTATCAGTGCCACTACATTGTAAATGTAGAAACTCTTAAATTGGTGTGTGTTTTGCTGTGTATATTCTCAACAGCAGAAAAATATTTTTTTTCCCCAAGAGACATTAGTTTATTACAAAAAAAAGATGGTTTGCAAACAGAGAATCTTACTACCTAGGACAAGAATAGTGGCTATTTTCAGTGACAGCCAGCTGGACAACAAAGATTTGCCACACCGAGAGGACTTGTGGGTCTCTTATACTATGTGGTAAACACGCCTCATATTCCAGGAAAGAAGGGAGGGAGGTGGTATGCAGAGAGTCCTATCTCCAGCCAAGACTTGAGGAAAACCAGCAAAACAGCCCAGCACCAGCTGCCTGATAGTCCCTAGTAGATAAATAGCTAATCCATGGTAACAGAGTTTCAGTATGCAGGTTCAGGGATACATGCTAGAAGGGGAGAGACAGAGAATGACAGGGCATTTCTCCTGGGTTGATATTAGTGTGGCCATTTTGGAATGCTGGCTTTTGTCCTGACACCCATGGACCAGTAGATTACAAAAATGGGGTATTTAGCCCCACTGCATTCCTTGAAACCCTGGAAGAATCTCAAATTTCACACCTGTGTTTCAGGGATTCTGAAAGTAGTTTTAAATTTAAAATCTTCAGTAAATTTTTTTTTAAGAGCTAAAGAGAGTCCCTCTTCTATCCACACCCCTCTCCCAGGACCAAAGTCTGCTGCGAGACCTGACTTTACTTGAATTGAGTCTCGGTACCTTCTCTTTCCACTGCCTCTCATCTGCTCATCCTTAAGCCCACTCCCTGCAGCAGGTGGAACGTTATTGGCAATCTGACTTGATGCCTTGGTCCTGCCCTCAGAACTTGGGGGAGTCCAGGTTCTTGCCTGTCAACCCTTGGGGGAGCCTCTCTGAGTTAGAGTCTAGTCCTGGGGTCCTACTTTCTCCATACACAGTAATACTCTTAACTCACATTTCCCTGTTTCATTCCCCAGGCCCCCAAGGATCTGAATTACACACAAGTGGTTTTCTCAGCCTCAGGAGGACTGAAAAGTGAATCTGTTCGGGATTATCAGAATTTAAATGAAACCACCGATTATGTCAATATCAACCCAGAAAGCCACAAGACCAATGTCTGGTCTTTTGTGAACCATGCCTCTGAACCAGTGGAATACACTCAAGTGGCCTTGTGAATTCAAGCTTTTCAAACATGGTCAGTTCTTGTTGAATGTCTGCACTTAGTTTATAGGCAACAGTTCCAATCTATTTTGACAAGACATTGAGGGGAAATAGGCCTATACCCCAGCAAGAAGGGGTCATATAAAATGTTATCAAAAACTTTCTGGTAATAAAAACATTGAACCACTTTACTAGAGAAAGTAAAGCTCCATCCTATAAAAAGTTAAAAAAAAAAAGTAATCAGCAGGAAAAGTTGGGAGAGAGTTCTGCTTGGCAATATTACAGTTAAATAACTTCTCTTTGAGCTCTTTCATTACTGACAACAAGCAACTTCCTTAAAAGTTTTAAATAAAATGGCGAACACCAGTTCCTCTTTTGTTCTCGCCTAACCTTGTTTGCTCTCCCTTTCTTCAGTAATCTTGTTGAGTAATCCTGATCCACACTCAGAACTTGAAATAGTCCACATAGAGAGCCTGTCATCAATCAACCCTTGAGTTTGCTACTGCTTACTAGTGAAAGACGACAAAAAGACTCCTGGTAAATACCAACCAGCATCACAATCCATTATCCCAAGAAAAAGCTTCCAAAATTCAGTCCAATAAAAATTCAATGCCCATTATTATTATTATTTTAACCAATTAAGAATAAAAGGATAGTTAGGCAGGTTTGCATGGTCTAAGTGGGACAGAGGTAAATAATGATGTATGCCCAATCTTGGAACAACAGGCCTCTGGGATACAAGGATTGAGGCATGGTTTGAATGGGTAAAAGAGGTAAAATAATGTTCAGATGCTTGGCTGTCTTTTGAATCTTGGTTGCCCTTTCCTACTATTGTAAAATAAACACTTGAGGGGGAGAGAAAGGAATAGCCAAAAACATCACCATAGCAAGCTTGTAAGTCCGTCTTCAGCCTATAACTGGAATACCTAAAATGGGGTTAGAACTTGCCCAGTGAAGGAGACTTCCTGTGGAGCCTTTGCATTGCATAAGACCATAGGTGGAATCCAGATCCCCATCCAGAATCTTCTGAGGTGGAAAATTTCCACTTGAAAGGACAAGCAGACCAGCCTGGAAAGGCTAGAAGAACAGAAGATAGTTCTTGAAAGAAAGACCTACAGGCAAGCAGTTGGGATGAGCAGGCATGTGGTCTTGCTGGTGACCACGTTTGCCACTGATATGGGGAAGTGGGGTAAAAACAACAATGAACTTGTGAGCTAAGTCCAACCACATTCAATAGATTCCTGTCATCCCAGGTTGAGACCTGGTTGGTCAGCAGTATGGCAAGACCTAGAGACTCCTGGGCCCAGAGTCAGTGACATAGCCACAGAGGACTAGAACGGAGAGTGAAGCATCCAGCTGATATGAGGGGATATGCACAAGAACACCCATACTTGCTGTTAGTACCTACTTGACCTGGCTTCAATGGATGGATGATCAGAACTCAACTAGAAGAAGAAAGAAGAGGGAAAAAAGAGTAATCGGATACAATTTGATGAACTTGACCTAAAGTTATGGATGTAGTAGCTCAAAAGAGGGGACAAATCTTTATAGCGAGGATCATTCCCATCCCCTCAGTCACAGGGTTGACAGGGATGGGCAACTTAGACATTGGCTACGCAAAATGGGGGAGCTACAAAGGCAAGAGGTGACTGGCTTACAAGCTTTCAAGAAGGAGCCTAAATCCAGAAGGCACAGAGGAAGGTAGAATCTCCACTGAGTAGTATCCAATCTGTCTGGGTGGGGCTGATGAAAGCAGATGGGGATAGGTCTCTTGTGGTACAATAGTGAATAATTGTTATCAGGACTTACTGTGAGGGTTGGAAATGTAAAGGTAGATGTTTTGTAGCAAAAGAAGGGGAGTGATTGACTTTGCAGACCAGGAGTAGAGGTCTCTGGAACCATCAGGGGAGAAGAATGGATGGCAGGACCCTACCCAGAGAAGCAATGACCCCAGAAATGGAGGCAGAGACGATGACGTGGAGAGATGGAGCAGCTGGGGACTTTGGACTCAGGGAGGGAAAGGGTCTGTGTGCTGACAGCTGGGGGTGGGGCAGGCTTGTGGGGTGTACCCTTTGGTTGTTTGATGATGCATGTAGGAAATTGTAATTATGGCAATGAAACAAAATACAATAGGGTGAATGTAAAGCTAATATTCTTCCATGTAAACTATCACTTAATTTACAATAAAAACTTTTTAAAAAAAGAATAAAAGGACATTTTTTAAACTTGATTAAGAGTTGCTATTTCAAATCAGCAGATAGTATGATATTGAACTATAAGGCCCTAGGCACTCACCCACTGCCCCGTCAAGTTTTCTATGTCTGTAAATTTTACAGAAGCAGGCTACTACGGTTTTCTCCAGTGGACTGACCGGTGGGCTCAAACCACTGACCTTCTGGTTAGTAGCCTAGTGCTTTAACCACTTAACACCAGGGGAAACAAGTGTTGTAAGTATTAGTAAGGTCCCTGGGTGGTGCAAACAATTTTAACTCAATTGCTAACCAAAAGGTTGGAGGTTTGAACCCAACCAGTGGTGCTGTGGAAGAGAAGACTGGCATTCTGGTCACAGGCAAGAAAACCCTGTGGGGCAGTTGTACTCTGTCATATGGGGTCACCAGGAATCGACTGGATGGTGACTACAGCAACAGCATAGTTACTGGAAAGGAAGATAAAATGTGTCATTATTTACAACTATAACCTTATCTTTAGAAAACCTCAAAGAATTCACTTAAAATGCTTTAAAATTAGAGCATGCAGAAACCAGTGACTAAAAAGACAAATATTTCAACATTTAAGACATGAAGTGAAAAAATTTTTTTATACACAGTAACTAAACAAACACACAAAAACTGAAATACTAGGAACACTTCCAACCAAATACAAAGCCCAGATTCATGACATCCAGGTCCTCAGAGAGCTTGTATTAACTATGCTACCTCCATTGGCTGTAAAGGACCCTCCTAGCCCTGGTGCGGAGAGCTTTCATCTTCTTGGGGTTGCCTTCCCCAAAATGGTCTTGAATGGATTTCTGGGGATGAAAAATTTCACATATTTGCATTTCCCTTCACCTTTTAGTGTCCATTACTGATCCTCAGCAGTCCCTGAGTGGCACAAATAGTTAACTGCTCAGCTCCTAGCTTAAAAAGACTACTGGTGTGATGCTATAGGATAAGCACTAGACTGCGAGCCACAAGGTCGGTGGTTCACACCCACCAGTTGCTCTTTGGAAACCCCATGCAGGATCACTATGAGTAGGAATCGACACAACAGCACTTAAAAACATCAACTAGCCTAAAGGTTGGTGGTTTAAATTCACTGGAAATGAAAGTCTGTCAATATGCTTTTAAAATCTCAGCCTCTGAAAATCTTATGGAGCAGAGTTCTACTCTTGACCATATATGGTCATCGTATAGTGGCGACACCTTGAGAATAACTAGTTTCTGGTTTGTTGTTCCTCTCCTTAGAAAGTGGTGTTTTGGTTTGTTGTGTTTTTTTTCCATTTTTAAAAGAAGTTTTATTGTGAATTGAGTTAAAGTTTGCAGGGCAGATGATCAGTTTTACATTCCATAATCATATTTTACTTCATTGCAATTACAAGCCCCTCCATGTACCATCAGTTAACAGTATTTCTCTCTATTCACTTTAGTGCTTTAAAAAAATAAAAACAAAAAACACTCAGGCATATATAATAATTTACACCTCAAAACGGCACATTCTGCAAGTCTGCCTCCTAGTCATCAGCTCTTAGTCCCTCTCTTCCAATGAATCTAGAGTCCTCCTTCTCTCCATGTCCCCATCTCTGCCTCTGTCTCAGTCCTCTCTGCTTCTCTGGATAAGGTCCCGCATTCTGCTTCTGCTCTTCTCCCTTAATATTCCTGGGTCCTCTATTTCTGGACTGTAAGATAAACTACTCGCATGTTTTCGTTACAAAACTTCTACCTTTACAATTGTGACAGTTGCAATTAGTCACAATAACAATTACTCACTATTCACTCATAAGAATCTTATCCCCATCTTTTTTCACCAGACCCATCTAGACAAGATGAAAACTATTCCGTGGGAACTCATTCTTTCCCCACACACTCTTAAACTAAACTCCATCATGAAACCTTGTACGTAGCCCTCCTCCCCTTATTTTAATTATTATTGGGGTTTTTTTTTATTATTTAAGGTTTTTATTGTGGATTGAGTGAAAGTTTACAGGGCATATCATCAGTTTTACTTTCAACAAATCATATACCTTGTTTCATTACATTGACTATAATGCCCTACATGTACCATTAGTTAACAGTATTTCTCTCTATCCACTTTAGCTTTTAAAAAAACATAAAAACAAAAAAACCCACTCAGACATAATTTATATCTCCAAAGGGCACACTCCGCAAGTCTGCTCCTGGCCACCAGTTCTTAGTCCTTCTCTTCTTAGTTGATGAATCTAGAGTCCTCAGCCGCTCCCCCTCTCCATGCCCCCATCTCTGCCTCCATCTCTGGTGCTGCTGCTTCTCTGGATAAGGTCCCACATTCTGCTTGTGCGCTTCTCTCTTGATGG